CCCTTATATTTCCCTTTTTTTCACCCCATATTTCCAATTCCCTCCACCATATTTCCCTTTTTGCTCCCTATATTTCCCTTTTTTCTCCCTATATTTCCCATTCTCCCCTCTATATTTCCCCTTTTTCTCCCTATATTTGCTATTTCCCCCTGGGGTGCTCGGGGGTGGGGGGGCGGGGGAGCACCCCCCTCCCAGCACCTGGGGCTGCCATTTCTCCCCAGATTTTCCGCTTTTTCCTGCATTAAACCTCCTTTTTCTCCCCTCCCAGGTGCCTTTCCCCCCCTATTTTCCCCCTCTTTGCTTTGATTTCTCGCCTATATAGGATTATATTAAAAATATCATCTTATTTTTAAGACAGGCCAGGCTTTGGCTGCTGTTTACTCATCGTCTTGTTATTTAATGTTATTATTTTATATTTTTTTTAATTATTTTTTTTTTTAGGGCTGGGTTTTCTCTGCTTTCCCGGCCTCAGCTCCGGGGGCTGGGATGTTCCTTGGAAAACAGCCCAAATCCCAACTCCCCACTGGCTCCCAAAGCCCTTTCCCTGGTTTTGGGGGGGAAAAACTGGAAAAGGAGTCACGGTTACGCGTCCTGGCGATAGGTTTTATCCTCCCGGCCTCGTCCTTTCCCTTAGTGACACCAAAGCAGGATGTGAAAGGGGAATAAATAACTAAATAAAAAATAATAATAATAAAAAACCAGCTCATGAGCTTTACATATAAACTCCCCAGGATAAATTATCACCCCCTCCCTCTCCAGATCTGCCCCCCCCCAGCTCTCACAAAGGGGGTTGAGAGTGGGATTTCTTTAATGGCAGCTCAAATCGATGTTGGAGAAGGAAGTGGGGAGGGGGGGGGGATGGAAATAATAAAGAAATAAATAGAATAAAACCTAAATCAAGATGCTTGCAAAGCCTCCTTTCCAATGACTCTGCATCCCAGGGTTTGGGGAGAGGGGGGGGCACTTGCAGCAGGCCTCCCCTTCCCAGCCCCCCCCCGCCACTGGGCTTTTTAAGCAGCAAAGTTGCCCCAAACAAGGCCTAAAAATTAAAAAAAAAGAAGGGGGGGGGCTCAGCCCCAGCACCCCCTTTCCCTGCCCTGCCAGGGAACCACAGACACCCTGCAGCTGGGGGGGGG